CTCATTTGATCATTACTTTGATGGCCAGTACGGAGATTTTGCATTAACTGTCATGTTGACAATTCTGAATAAGTTGCTTCAATACAAAATCATCTAGATGCACAAGGAGGGTCTAGACCTGAAACGTCAGTTTTCCTGCTCCTCTGATGCTGCTTGGCCTGCTGTGTTCATCCAGCTCTACACCTTGTTATCTTAGATGCACAAGATACAGATTTTCAAAAATGACTGTCTATTATGCAAACTCAATTAAGAATTTTCTGGTTATATTCTCACCAGTTTATGCCTACTGTCAGAGACCGTCACCTGACTAAATCTTTTCAATACCTCCAGTCCATTTACCCATGTTGTCATACGAGGTTGGCATTTAAAAGAATCTCATTTATTTCAAGATATCTCCCTTCACTGTTTGCCTTGTTAGAGGTACAGAGGTAGAGACAGAGGTACAGTGATTCAAATATAAAGCCAGAAATCAGGTTTTAAAGCTTTAGAAACATTGTACCTTAACATTTTCCTTGCACTGCCCTTTCATTATCAAAGCAAAAATCACATTTGTGCTGAAATGTCAACAGCAAAAAGAAGCCTCAACAAGCCAAAGATCTTTATTTTCTGTTAAAAGTGCAACAGTTTTCTCCTAAAGCAGAAGTTTTGTCAAAGCTGTTAGTTTCAAATAGATTTAGATCATGAGCAAGAGCACCAAGTTAGAAACTGCTTTTCTCCTTTTAAATTTATTCCCTTTGCTTCTAGCTGGAATACAATAGGCCTCAGGCTTTCTGGCACCTCACTTAACTGGCCATGATTCAGATGCAAACTTGGACAGTGCCTGCTATTCAAATAGAGGTATCATGGCAAAATCCTTAGAAAGACGCATGGCTAATTGAGTTTGTTGCCTGCTGATGACTGTCTATGGTCTGCCATCTTGAAAACATTGTTTACAAAGAGATTCTAGTGAATTGATGATTTAAAGAAGTGTGGGCACAAATTGTTACTCATTCTTTTAACAATACTCAAAGTAAAAAGGGCTTGCATTTACAAAGTGCCTGGCATGGCCCCAAGGTCTCGCAAAGGGCTTCACAACCAAAAGAACTTGGAAGTGTAGTTTTAGTGGAGTCAGACCATTTAGTTTGTACCTTATTGTCACTGAAGGCTAAATATGGATGGGAATACAGAGAGAACTGCCCTGCACCTCTGAAACATAACCAAGAATTATTTTACCTACACCAAAGAGGGAGACAGCAATGATATGATTACCTGAAGCCATAATTCTGTTTCATCCAAGAAAAAAAAAGATACCAGGCAAATAAACCTCCTGTATTAAAGATAAAACAAAATACATCCTACAACTTTTGTTTACTGTGGGAAACATCTTGTCAGCATTTATGGCTTCTCTGCAGGAGTGAGGTGGGATCAGAAACTCAAACAGCTGTCACACTCCCTCACCACATACTCAGACAGAACACAATTTGGTAAAATGTGAAGTCAACTCTGAACAAATGAGCGAAGGTACAGAAGAATATTGATAAAGTCACACTTAAACTTCAAAATGGCACTACTGAGAAAATTCTGCACATTATTCTTGGATGTTAGAATGAGAGCAATATTGTCATGTTAACGAGTACACAATTACTCAAGTTACAGCAAAGACAATGGACACTGAATTACAAAGCATGATTAAATAATGATCTTGAAAATTATGCAAATCTATTGAATTACTTGAAAGAGTAGCAAACAAAGTAGAAATAGTCCATTCCAATACTAACAACTTGTACGTACATACAGGGAGATAGCAAGAACTGCAGATGCTGGAGTCAGAGTCAATACAGTGTGGAGCTGGAGGAACACAGCAGGTCAGGCAGCATCAGAACAGGAAAGTCAACATTTCGGGTTTACACTCTTCATCAAAACTGGGGAGGGGAAGGGAGCTGTTTCCAAATCAGACAGGGATTCACCTCTACATCCTCCAACCTGGTCTACTGTATCTGTTTCTCCCACTCCCAATGTGGCCTCCTCTACCTCAGTGATACCAAGTGCAGATTCGGTGACCAATTCACAGAGCACCCGCGCTCTGTACGCTGTAATCAACAGCATCTTCTGGTTGCTGACCATTTTAACTCCACCTCCCACTCCCTCAAATGACATGTCTATCATGGGCCTCCTCCAGTGTCACAACAACAATGCCACACGTAAGCTGAAGGAGCAGCACCTCATATTCTGCCTCAGGAGCCTACAGCCCAATGGCCTCAACAGAATCCACCAGTTTCAACATCTCCCCACCTCCAGCCTCATCCCATGTCCAACCCTCCCTCTCATCCCTACCTCTTTGACCGGACACAACCTGTCCATCTTCTTTCCCACCTGTCCACTCCATCCATCTCACTGACCAATTCCACTAACCCCTACCTGCATGCACCTATCACCATCCCACCTACCTTCCCTGACCCCCCACCCCACCCCGTGCATTTATTTCTGAGCTCTCTTCCTCCTCCTCAGTCCTGACGGGTGTAAACCCAAAACGTTGACCCTCCTGCTGCTCTGATGCTGTGTTCCTCCTGCTCCACAATGCACATGCATACAGCCTTGAAATGTAATAAAAGCATCCCATGGTGCTTCATGATGCATTATAAAACAAAATATGCACCAAGCCACATAAGCAGATGGCCAAAGCTTTTGGTTGAAGCGATAGGCTTTAAAGGAAAACAAGATAGAAAGCTAAATAAATTTAAAAAAGGAAGAAGGAATTGCAGAGCTTTGGGTGTAGGCAGCTGAAAACATACCTGCCAATTATGAACCAATTAATATTAGAGACATTCAAGATGCCAGAATTAGAGTGCAGATTTCTTAGGAAGTTGTAGGGCCATAGGAGATTACAGTTAGGGAAGGAGGCAGGCAATGAGGAATTTTAAAACAAGGATGAGAATTTAAAAAAAAAACAACCATAGGGCACAGCTTAATTAGGAGCCAGTACAGGTTAGCAAGTGCAGGAGTGTTGGGTGCAAATTAGGACTCAGGAAGCAGAACTGTGGATGCCCTAAAATTAACAACGGATAGCATGTTGGAAACTGTCCACAAAAGTGTATTGGTAAATAAAAAACAAAAAAAAAAAAACCTTGAGGTTAAAAAAGACACGGATGGTGGTTTCCAAGAACTAGAGAAGTAGAGGCGGGAATGGAGATGTCACGAATCAGACCAGTTGAGCGATAAGACTAATATGGTTGAAAGCTCATTTTTGAATGACGTTATGACATTCAGATTCCAAACAGTCTGGTTCAGTCTCAGACAGTTGACAGGAAGAGTGATGAAAATGGTGCCTACAGGGCCAATTTTTATTTGAAAACAGTTCCTGCTATTTTCAGGTCTGAATTTCAGCTTGATAACAGAGACTGTGGAGGGGTCCAGACAGAGGTTGTGGCAAGGTTAAAAACTGGGTGTCATCATACATGTGGAAGCTGATGTGTTCTCAGATGCTGCTGCCAAGGGAGCAATAAAACCAACGATTAATCCTTGGGGCAACAAAGTTAACAATGCAGGTAACATAGGGGATAATCCAATTTTCCTTTTTGATGGAAAGGCTATGGATAGGATTAAAAAGAAACTCAGTTACGAAGAGTTTGAGATCCATATATTTTGGAAGGTCTTCACACCAGCAACATTCGTTCACCAACTGATTTAGTCCAGAAGGCAGTTAGTCTTGAATGTGATTAATACCCTTACATGTACTGGTTGCTGAACACGAGGTAAATTAGTATGCTTTGCAACTGGTCAAGTATCACGTTTGTCTTGTATCCAGGTTTCAATCAATGCTACTCAAAGCTGTTCTTTATCAGTTCAGTGAAGTCTAAGAATGGTCACTGTTTGTGAAATGCCAATTGGAGACCTCAGTAGAATTGTGGTCAAGGGGGAATTCAAAAACTGCTATAAATTTTGAACAAACTCTGATCGGATTCCCCCTCCCCACAAAGAGTACAACAATAGACCTCTTTAGCAGGGGAATTAGCTCAAATGGTAGAGCGCTCACTTAGCATGCAAGAGGTAGAGGGATCGATGCCCACATTCTCCACTTTGGTTTTCCTTGGGAACAAGCTGAAGAGACCGGAAGTCAGCACAGTGGCTCAGTGGTTAGGACTGCTGCCTCACAGCACCAGAGACCCGGGTTCGAGTCCACCCTCAGGCGACTGTCAGTGTGGAGTTTGCACATTCTCCCTGTGCCTGCGTAGGTTCCCTCCGGGTGCTCCAGTTTCCTCCCACAATCCAAAGATGTGCAGACTAGGTGGATTGGCCATGCTAAATTGCCCATAGTGTTCAGGGATGTATAGATTGGGGCGGGGAAATGGGTCTGCGTCAGATGCTCCGAGTGTCGGTATGGACTTGTTGGGCCGAAGGGCTTGTTTCCACACTGTAGGGATTCTATGATTCTATGAACTCTTGCTCTGTCATTCTATAGAATCTTGGCTGAGCTTCTACCTCAAATTTTCTACATTACTTCTTTCTACATAATCCACAAGAATCCAGCAAACTATACATTCAACTATTTAAAATATAAATTACTTTCTAAAACAATTTTCTGCAATGTTTTTTGCTGTAACATTGTTCCTTTGTGCATTTACATCCCCCAGCAACTTAATCCACATCTTAAAAGCAACCCAACCATTACCTGGAGAGCGTGATTTCTTTAAGTGCATTTCAGTTTCACACTCTTGGTTGTGGTCATCCAAAATGTTCAATGTGGGTAATTAATTTAAATTATGGTCAGGAGGTGAAACATAATTAAGACAAATTTTCCTCCAATTTTATTTTCTGGTTGAAGTTACAAAGGAAAAAGCCATGGTCACAAAAACAGATAAACCTAAAATTTCTACAGCTTTCAAAAGCAGTTTTGCAAACCAGGCTCAAATACAAGGTTTGTTTGGTCACTTCATACTGCACAATGTTAGAAAATATGATTCCAGGAATTTCATACAGATCAACACACTGTGGCTATTTAAGCATGGACCAATTGCTCTGACCTGTTTATACATCTTTCCCTTCTCTAGCCTGTTGATTTTGTCCCACTGCAACACACCCGTATCATCCAATCTTCTGAAAGGCCTGGAAAATAAAACAGATCATTACTCAGTCACTAATTAGAAAGTCCGAGAACAAAATCCCAGGTCTTAGTAACAGAGGTGACCCTAAAAGTAGTTAGATATAATCGGAGACAAGATGCATTTACTTTGTGCTCTTAAGATTTCAGAGAAATATTTTTTCTTCATCAGTTTTTAAGGAAAGCTTGTTTGACTCCTTCTACACAAGAAAGCCACATGATGAAGAACAGAACTGAAGCCAATTATTATAATAGGATAACACAGTGTGGAGCTGGAAGAACATAGCAGGCCAGGCAGCACCAGAGAAGCAGGAAAGCTGACGTTTCAGGTCAGGACCCTTCTTCAGGAAACAGCAATCGGCAGTTCTTACTATCTCTATTATTATAGGATGTTGTTAAACATCCAGAGATGCACATTACAAAACATATTACTATTCTGTCCACCATTGTAGATGGTTTTAATCTATCTTAGGATCACAAATAATACGTCCAATGCCTATGCCTCCCTATGCATTAACTATTTCCATAAAAAATGCCAACACAAGACAGATATTTTCTGAAAACTGACCAGTGAAAAATCGCATTACTCAAGTAGTGAGTTGCAATTTGCAGCTATTTCATTCTTTATTATTTTATTTTCCCTTCCCGCTTACAAAGCTACTTACTTGCGCTTATCCGTAAAGAAACCTGGCTTATCAGCTTGGACGATCACCAAGTCAAAGAGATCCCGCCAGTCCTTTCCCACCATGTGTTTCATTCCTTTATCACTGTGTAAAAAACGTGGAAGAAAGATAGTTTGTACAAATACCTGAACGTACTACCACACTTGTCATGAGCTTTCGGTTTTAAAAAAGAAAATCAAAACCAGATCAATCCTGACAGATTGGTGCATGACAGCATGGTGCATCAGATTCAATTCCTTTTGACTCTTGCAATTTGGTACAACTGAGCAGCTAACCTGACCATTTTAGTTAGGAGTCAGCGTGCATAGATGAAAGATGACAGATGAAAGATGGCAATTCATTTAAAAAATACTTAGATTGTATAAATCTACTGCAACCTCAAAAAATACAGCTGTCAAGTCTAAAAGATTTTGGGTCATTAACCCCCTTTACCAAACTGCTCGGAGAAGCAGAACAAAGGTCTAGTGGGAGTTTTTCTTCAACAGGCCACCTCTTATGTAGCAAAGTTACATCTTTTATAAAAACAAAGATGAGAAATTGAGGAAAAAGAGGGCATTTCTAATAGCACCTAGTATCCCTGAAATAGATCATCTTTCTTCTGTTATGACCAGGAAAGGAAGGGAAAAATCAGTGCCAGTCTTTTTGATGTCTTCTTGGTGGGTTGCAACCATTTTTTAAAAACTTCTTTCTAGTATGCAGCTATCCCTCCAAACAAAACACAGATTGCTTGAAAATTAAAAATGTAAAAAGGAATTTTACTACCAACCAACCCAGAAAAAAGTAAAAACTATGAAAGGTTACGCACTTGAAATACTAACCCATTCTCTCTCCATAGATGAAGCCAGACTGGGTTGTGTTTCTAGCATTTTCCATTTTTATTTCAGATTTCCAGATTTCACAGCTGCTTCTGCAGCTTCCAGGAGACCTGGCTAATGGTCAGGTGTGAAAATCCTCTAAATTGTGGTGTCAGTTTCTTGGGTCAGACACCTCCAGAGTAACGCAGCCAAAATGGCAGTTACAGACTTTACTAGAGAAGAACAAATTCCAGAACACATGTTCCCACAATTTAAGCCCTCTGAGTAGTCCAATACAGAGATCAACCCCACTGGGGCTTTCCATACTAGGAATACCATTATCAATAATTAAAGTGTCATTTATAACAAAAACTAGTTCACTCCCCTTTGAATGATGAGCAATTGAAGCAATTTACTCATTTCACCCTAAATTACATCCAAGAATGTCACCAACAGAAACTTTAATTTCTCATTCACAACTTCGACACTAAACTGGACAACATAAAGACAAAAAAAAAGTGTGGAAGCTATCTGGTGTGTTAAAACATCTGAACAACTAATATGACTATGTCCTGCTGTACTTACAGTGAGAACCTCTTATCTAAAAAGTCTTGCTTTTTCCTCAGCATTAAGCCATCTGTTGCTGGGCATGGAAAAAAGGCACTGGTTCTGTAACTGAAAGCAGTTTCTAATTGTTTTTAGACTGATTATTTACAATTTCTAGCTGTGTGGTGGAACTCAGGCTATTTCATATCTTACTCAGATTCTCATGTGATCTTGGCATATAACTCTGGATCAGGAGAGTAATAGCATTCTGGAAAGAGGATTGCTAAAAAACGATACAAAGCTCAGATGATCAAAATTACCACTTACACAAAGTTGAAAGGACTGTTGGTTATAAGAAAGAGCTTTTTTCCATTATTAACCAGCCGGTTTAGGACAGCGTATGTTTCATCACCATGAAGAATGTATTTCTCTGAACACATAGGAGGAAAGAAAGGAATCATTACTCTACTTCGATACTAATATAGGGTTCTGTTTGCTTCAAGAACAAATTCCTGACACCTTCTCATTTAGCATTTTGCTGACACTATTGGATTGAGACAGTTAACCTTTTTGGTGAAACTCACCTATTGTTTTCTCAGTGAGTCTAATTAATTTAAGATTACCATTTCCCCCCTCCACTATTTAACAAACTTGCAAAAATATTAATTCATCAAAAACAGAGATGACCATACAGCTGGGAAGGGGTTTAATTATGGGAACATGGGAATTGTACCACTATGGAGGTCACTTTGAGGAGAGATACTAACTCTGGAGATAAGGAGCTAGATTTAAAGGAGTTTGAGAGATGCCAAAAACCTTGAAATGGACTGGGCCTGGATCCAGCAGTCACAGCCCCTTTTCTGACAGCTCTCAAAAAGGGGGACAGATGGTGAAATGCACATTAGGGAATCCCAAAATCTACCCGGACCAGTTAAACCCATTGCTAAGAACAAACATCAGATGTTCACTCTAGGAATAGTCTGAACCAGCATTGTGATCTACAAACCTCATTAGTGAATATATAAATATCATAAAGGCCAGTTAAGGGAATGTAAAATTGTCAAAACTGTTAAAAGTATTTAAATTTCTCACTCTTTAAAATTTTTAATACAAAGTCTACGTCTCAGTTTGCAAAAGAAAAAAATTAATTGCACGCGCTCAATCTTGATAGCCCTCAGGTTTAATGTTCTGATAGCATTGGTACTCTGACTGCTTCTACCTCCTATCATTAGCACAGCTTTGGGGGCCGGGGAGGCTGTGAAGTCTGTTTTATGGACACTTCCACGTTGCTCTGCTGTCTTTGGTGTGGTTTTACAAAGCTGGTTGGGTCGGGAGGGCACTGGGTTGGCAGTCACTAGGCAGAGAGTATGGAGGTCAACATTTAACTGTTCCACACAAAAACCACAAGACATAGGAGCAGAATTAGGCCATTTCGGCCCATTGAGTCTGCTGTGCAATTTGATCTTGGCTGATATGTTTCCCAACCTCATTCTCCTGCCTTCTTCCTATAACTTTTGATCCCCTCACCAATCAAGAACCTCTCTCTTCCCTCTGTCTAAAACACACTTTGTGACTTAGCCAATATGACCTAGCCCTGATGTACAATCCACATAAAAGTGTGGAATCTGAGATCCAGGAGTCACTGAATTTAAAAACAGAACAGCTGCAAATATAACCCTGTTTGCTACTGCAGGGTTAAACACTAACAGAAGCCAAAATAATTTCTATTTATAGTCTATCTAGTGATCACTTTGAATACAGTTGGCATAAAGTATATGCGAGGGCATGGGCATTGTACAGGTTGGCACAGAGTATAATCAGGGGCCATGAGTTGGCATGATTTGACAAGGATGGGGCATGAGGAGTGGATTGGTAAGGGCAGAAGGGCATCACTTATTATAACTGGGCTGAAGTTCCGCAGCACCAACCCACTTCAGCAGTTGGCAGCTACGTAGCATCTCTGAATACTTTCCCAGGTTGGCTAGCTTGATGCTACTGTACAAGTGCCCACCTCCATAATGAAAATACTGACAGCCATAAGGTCCATGTAGAGGTGGATATGCGAAGCCAGATGTTTTCCCCCCCAAGTCCCATTAACGGCAACAAAAGACGAAAATCCAGCCCAAATTAGAGACAGAGTTACAAGATCATTTATGCAGTGATCATGTTAATGAAGTAGCTTGATCGCTGGAGGGTTGATTGTTTAGATCAGTGAGATCTTAAAAAAAAAAGTAGGAAATGCAGACTTAAATCCCATAACTGAGCATCTCACATCGCGAGTATCCAAATTTTCTTTAGGAGACCAGAGATAGTATTAAATATTAGTTAACTCACCCAGGTCCTGTTCAATCCAATTGTACATCATTCCTTTGACATGAACACTGGTTACAGCATCCTGAAAAGAATGGAAGGGACCAGGAAGAAGTTGTAAATTAAAAAAGTTTTTAAAATAAAAAAAAAGAATGTCACCTCCATAAAATAGATACCAAATATCCTAAATTCTTGTTCTTATCTTGTAATAAGAAATGCTTTGCAAAACGCCATACATCCATGAAAAGATTGTTCTTCAAGATGTTAAATCACTCTTGCAAGATTACTGCACTTGCATGTGCTAGTTTAGTTTTCTATCTTTCTTAACAGAATGTATACATGGACACAGCAAAAGGATGGGATTGATAATGCCTCTGGCTCTAATATTTAAGGAAACAACTCGGGCTAAATTTGGGATGAATTGCTGCAGATTGCAAGACCCCACTGGTGGAAGAGAACCTCAAAATAGGGCTGTGCAATCAAACCTAAAATCCACCCCAGTGGTAGCTCAGGCTTTTGGATGACAGCACACAACAATCGGAAAAAAAAACGTTCCAGTTTGTTGTGGCTCCCATAATGCCATTTTTGTATGTTTTGGAATATTTACCAGAGAAATTTCAGTGTTTGTAAATCATCTAAACATCTTCAAATCAAATATTTGACAAAGATAGTTTGACATAAATCAAAAAGGGATTTGAAGTAAAACTGAAGTGGGGAACTGCGACGCAACCACCGATTCCCAGGAAGTGGGACTCTGCATTGCTTCGGATCTGACCATACTTAGAGAGGTCAACATTTAAATAACTATTTAACTGTTCCACACTGAAATACCACAAGACATAGGAGCTGAGTTAGGCCATTTGGCCCATCAAGTCTGCTCTGCCATTTGATCATAACTGATTTGTTTCTCAAACCCATTCTCCTTCCTTCTCCCCATAACTCTTGATCCCTTACCAATCATGATACTCTGTCTAAAATACACTTGGTGACTTGGACAATAGTATTTAGTCCTGACATAGACCTCAGATTCTACACTGGGTTGTAAGAGTCACTGGAATTAAAATAGAACAACTGCAAATATAGTGTTTGCTGCTTCGGGGTTAAACAGTAACAGAAGCCAAAATAAATTCTATTTATAGTCTACCTAGTGATAACTTTGGATTATTGACCTGCAAGTGAATCACTGCTCTGTTAAGAATTGAAGTGCTAAAATTTATTTAAACTCATTGGCTCTCTTACTGAAATGAAAAAAGGAGAAATCTGACAGTTTAATTAAGTTTAACCACACAAGTGTTATGTACATAGTGTATTAATGGACAATGGAGGCTTTATAATAAAAAGCCTGATCTTTTTCAAACTCCTCCTTTATAAAAGAACTAACTGCACAGTAAAGCTAATCACTTCTAGTGTTAGCAGCTACTAACATCCAAGTAGCATTGGCTGCCCTATTAAGTTAAAGTGCTAAGTTTTCCGGCAAGTCCCAGTTGTTTTTGTGATCAGAATGCAGGTTAACATGAAGTTTGAACTTACACTCACATCTCTGAAGAGATGAACAGGATCATATTCAATGCTGTGGTTAATAAAGTAGTCATTCACACAAGAAAGAAGGGTCATTTCAGGAAGGGAGAAAATATCCATGAACTGTTTCATAGTAGGACCCTGAAAAGTGTAAGAACACACAGATGTACAAATCAAACAAAAAGGTTCACAAAGCTCCTGCGAATATACCATATATTAGACTAGACTATTCAACATTTCTAAAACAAAAAGTGCTTAGTTCAATCCATCATACAAGAAGAGGGTGCTAGAAGCCTAAAAGAGTGGTTTAGATGCTCATCAAGCAGGAGCCTTAATGAATTACGCAAATAGGGGTCCCTATGATATACACTGGCAAAGTCAGTTTAAAAAAAGCATAGATGAGCAATCCACCTCAACCAACTCATCTTCAGGATCAACTTCATC